CCATACGTCCTAGTCGCCATAGATGCTCCTATGGACGAAACAAGGGCGGCCAGATATAGAGACGAAGTAAACAACGTCAATATCTGGCTATCAAACTTGCAGTATTGATCATCTGACGGCTTGACTGAGGATTCCTTCTGGTAAACATCAGGAAAGAAGTCCTTCAAGAAAACATCCATAGATGTTACACCACCTGTAAAAAGAAACATATTATTCAGGTTTGCTGTTACCTTGAACGATGCAAACATAAACTACACTAGTACGAAATTAAGTACATATTTCACAGATTCTCAAAAACAAGTGATACGATTATTACATCTTCAAAAAGAAACTAATTAATTGTACATTATAACACACCTGAAATACCAAGATCATAACCAAAAATCAGACCTCCTGTTGCTGCAAAAAGGCACGTGAAGAACACCCTGAAAGTAAACTTTCCAGGGTATTCCTTTCCACCAGATGTTGGAGCGAAAGCCCCTCCAGCCATCTCTTTCTTTCTTTCTCTTTGTTTCTTTTGGGTATGATTGGTGAGATTCGTAAGCCAATCAATGGGAAGAGGGAGTATTGGGATGCTATATGAAATTATATTTATAGAGGATATACATTATATATATAGTGAGCTGATTTAACTGTATCTCTACCACTCGCAAATCCAAACGGATTGTAATTGATTTATCCAAGATTTAAATAATAACTTTATCTGTATCTCTAAAATATCTCAACAAATTTATACATATTTCTATCCAACGTGTATGTAGAGTTGTTATTGAAATCAACTTGATTTGAGATTTGTAAGTTAGAATTTGAACCGAGTCTTTCTCCAATATTTGAACATCTTTGCGCGAGAAATACTACTACTGTGAATCATAAATCACGTATTAGCTGTGTCGTTGATATTTCTTATCACTATATGTATTAAATTATTTATCTGATGTAAGAAAACTTTATCATTAATATCCAGCACGCAAAATATTGACGGACATAGAAGTTCGATGCTTGCTTGCTGCTTGGCTTCTTAGTTTTGGAACAGCTCTGCTAATTTTGCTTCTCGAAACCCTATCGGAAATACGATTCATAAAACTTCAGGTACACGACATAAGAATATAATGGAAAGGAGACTAAGGTTAGCAAGTGAGAACTGAGAGGAGGCCCGCCCACTGAGGCGGTGCTCCGTTATACTATTCCCATTATTTTTTAATATTTAATTAATAAGTCTTTCCTTTATTAATAATCTCTCAATCAATTTTATCTTCATCATATTTGAGGTCATTGCAAACATAAAGACGAATGCTTATATGTTTTTTTTCCTTCTAAATTCCGTACTTCCTTCCAAGTGTAGTATTCAACAATACATCCATAACGTATGATTTGATTCGATCATGATAGTCTATTTATTTGTAAATAAATAAGTCTTTTTAGAATGATAATTGTTTTTTTGTGATAAAGCTGTATAAATATTATAATAATTGATATAATAACATTTATTTTTAGTATTTTTATTGTATACGAGAATGTATCGAATTTGATTCCCATTAAATCAAGATGATTATTTGCAATTTTATTTCATACAATAACGAATGCTAAAGTTTATTCAAAAACATATTAACAATATGAATTATTTTTTAATTGGCTTAAGATGCATTGGATAATAAAACTATCCAATCCACACTCACCAATTCACCAATTATGAAGAATGACAAATTGAATGATACAGTTAAAAAAGGAAGTCGTGTATGGCATTGAATATGCGAGTGATAAAATATTATATAAATAAGAAATATATTTTAATTTTTTATTTCTTTCTCCTTTTTTAATTTGATATTTCAATTTCTTAAGAATATATGTGACTTCATCTCGAACACCCTTATGAAATGCATAGGCATACTTGGGTTCAAGTGCCTTTTATTTTAACAAATCTTATTGTTTTTCTATTTTCTTAATTATTTCAGAAGATGTATTTTTAAGCTCTATCATCAATTATATTTTTTATTTATTTCTGTTTTGTTGGATAATTGTACTTTGCTTGGTAAGTTAACTTTTTGACACCCTATTGAAATTTCAAATAGTATCAATTTCTTGCTTCATTTTAATAATTAATTTTTTTCTAATAGGTATTAGCTTTCTTTTTTAATATTTTTTGCTGTTGTCAATTTTTTTATTGGACTTTCTGTTCCTTTTCTTTTTGGTTATAAATCATTAACATTAATTAAGATTTAATAAAATATAAAGCAACTTATCTAGAATAAGATCAATAATCAAAAGATTGTAAAACGTTTTACATTTTAAAATTTTTAATATGGTTCTCGAAGTAACATGAATGGAACTCGTTACTCTAAAAATGAATACATATAACCTTTTTTGTTCTTACAAATATGGATTGCGTTTGTACCGATTCTATTTAAAAAAAAACCCTTATGTTTTGGATGCATCGAAATGCTGTCGCGAACCTCAAATCTGAAATGGAAGATGGAAGCTCTGATTAAAGCTACTGTTCAAGAGGCAAAGGGGAAAGTGATTTAAGGATTCTTTGAACGGAAGTGACCCGAAACTACAAAAACATTAGTGACAGAGAAGGTACTGGTGGGCTGATGACCATGCATGAAATGTTGGAGCTCCTTGTCGGCCAGATATTGTCCAGAGGATTACTATATATATCGGCCGCCTAACCAATCAAGTTTTGATTGGAAAGCCCACCATAAAGTAAGAAAAACATCCTTACATTTGTTGGTGGTTGTACACGTTTTAGTTGGAACAAAAAACATGAAAATTAACGTAGAGTTCCCAAAGGAATCAAGATACACTAAGAATAATTTCTAATGTGACATAATGAGAAAACGCGGTCTGTAACCTTCCTTTTATTATTATATGTTGCAAAAAAAAATGAACGAGGCGCTATTGTATAATGCTTCGATCCATTAGAAAGAGTTGTTGATTGGTTCATAACTATAGTATGACTACATGTTCATAAAATCAGGTTTTGTTATAAATTTTAGGTACAGTATTAAGGATGGAGATCACAAAGTGTCAATTGAGTTACAAACTCATTTACCAGATTTAATCTAGTTATATTACCAGATTTAATAATTTTATTGATAAAAAATTTTACCAGTATTTTACTTATAACCTGTTAATATATATGTTATTGATGGCTTTATGGACAAAAACATTCCATTAAAAAAACTTTCATTGATAATTAAAAGTTTATTACTAATAAATATATCGATAAATTTATTGATAGATAAAACATGCCAAAAAAATTTATCCACTTCATTTTATTAGTATATCTCCATTACTCAATTGAATATTTCATTAACAAAAAAATCATGTGTAATGTCATCAATGTTTTATTTGTTTGTTGATATATCTATCAGTAAATATAACACTAATATAATATCATCTATAATTATATTAATGAGTTAAAAGTAATGTTAGTATTTATAGTCATTCTTTTTCAACTCTCTCTGAAATATAACGATGAAGATGTGAAGATGATAATTCTCTATATTATCCAAAAAACTCTCGTTGGTAATTAAATGTTCATTGGTAATAAATATATTAATGAATTTATTAACAGAAAAAATATACCAAAAAACATTATCCATGTCATTTTATTAGTATATCTCCATTTGTAAATTTAATATTTCACTAACAAGAAAATCATATGTAATGTCATCGATGGTTTATTTGTTTGTTGATATATTTATCAATAAATATAACACTAACATAATATCATCTATAATTATGTCAATGAGTTAAAAGTAAAGTTAGTATTTATAGTCATTCTTTTCTAACTCTTTCTGAAATATAATGATGAAGATGTTTTGATGGTAAACCTGTTAATATATATATATATAATGTAAGTAGAAAAATAATTAATATAAATTAAAATAATAAAAAAATCAAATATTTATTATAAATTTAAATATTTTTATGTTCAACTATGATAAATCTAAAAGAGATGCAGCACGGGAGGAGGAAGAAGTTAATCGTCACCTAGAAAATGGGGTCAATTAAAGGTTACACATATACCATCCATTTATAATCTCTTCTTCATTACCAATCAATGGGGTTTTTCATAATCAATAGTAAGTTATTTATATTTTTCATTAAGATGGGTTGTTCGAGCTTATACTCATTAATCTATCATCGCTGTGAACACCAAAGTTTGAGTGCTCAGAATCAATTTCGAGCATCCAACAATATGTTATGATCAATTCATGGATTAAAATTATAATTCAAAAATTGAATACATTTTAGAGCTTAATTTATAAAATTATTTTTAATGAAGTAACACTTGATTAATTATCTTAATTTAATTTATAACTAATGATTCTTAATATGTGTGACCTATTAAGTTTATAATATGTTAGCCTAAATATAAATTATAATTCTAAAATATAAAATTAAATAAATCAAATAATTTAATTTGTTACCAATTCAATAATTAATTAATTTATATTTGAAGATCAAGTGAACCATTTAACGTGTTATAATTCTCAAAATATTAGAAAAGTCATAAATAATTCAACTTAATTTTTAAATAATTAATATTTCAATGTAATTATTATTTCTTTATCAATAATATTTTAATTTTAATATTTTAATATAAAATTTGTATATTATATTAAATTATATTTATTTGTACCATTATAATTATTAATACTTCAAATAAAATTAAAATCACTTTTCAAATATCATTTCATCACTTAACTCCCGGTCCTGAGATTCACGAAACCAGTAAAGAAGATATTGAGGGAGAACGTTGATGTTTTTGGCACCACTACGAGGGAGGAGCAGAGACCAGCTAAGTGCTAGCTAGGCGCCCGTAATGCGTGTGCGCCGCCCATTATTTATCAAAAGCCTCCGTTTAGCAAAAGAAGTAGCAGACTAGTAGTAGCCTCAGCTAAACTATCACTTTCCACTTTAATTATCTTTCTCAGACTACAACCCTCGCTATCAACTACCTGCATTACATACTGGAGAACAACGATTTTTAGCTGACCCCCCACGAAATCCCCACGCATTAACGTTTTTACAACTCAAATCTACGCAAAATCACACGTATATATTCTTTCTTCCTTGTAGCAAGGACCCTATCTACCCATAACCTCTAAATTCATCTTCTTCTAGACCTTTTCCTTCACATATAGATATATTTATATATATCCTCTACCAATATTAAATATACATAAGGCTGACCCCAACACATCCACTAACGTGCCCTAAATAAACCAAACTCACCCACCGTTAGCATTACATTTTGACCCTAATTCTTCTATACTAGTGAACCCACTTGACCCTATATTGTCACAATCTATCCCTACAAACACATGTGAAAAATATCCATCTCCAAAAGATCTTCCTCCTCGGCATTCTACTTAAACCCACCACCATGGCCACGACTTCTTCTAACTCCAAAAGGCATCCAATGTATCATGGAATCCGGAGCCGCGGTGGTAAATGGGTTTCTGAAATCCGGGAGCCACGCAAAACCACTCGTATATGGCTTGGCACATTCCCAAAGCCGGAGATGGCGGCGGCCGCATATGATGTTGCAGCCCTGGCCCTAAAAGGTAATGGTGCAGTTCTGAACTTCCCAAGTTCTGCTGGGACTTATCCTGTGCCTGCTACGGCATCATCCACTGATATTCGTAAAGCGGCAGCAGCTGCTGCTGCTGTAAAAAAGGCTGAACTGAGCTACAATGAAGCGTTAGTTGATCAACCCGGCAATGACCATAATGCCATTGGTGCTTATTTAGCATCAAGTGGAGAAGAATTTGTTGATGAGGAGGCACTGTTTGATATGCCAAATTTGCTGGTGGACATGGCAGGAGGAATGCTGCTTTCGCCACCAAGAATAACCTCGCCACCGTCTGATGATTCACAGGGAAATTCTGATGGAGAAAGTCTGTGGAGCTATTTTTAATATTGCTCCTTACTATTGATCGTTACAACTTCACGAATGGATTAATAGACTACTAGTAGCCTCAGCTAAACTATCACTTTCCACTTTAATTATCTTTCTCAGACTACAACCCTCGCTATCAACTACCTGCATTACATACTGGAGAACAACGATTTTTAGCTGACCCCCCACGAAATCCCCACGCATTAACGTTTTTACAACTCAAATCTACGCAAAATCACACGTATATATTCTTTCTTCCTTGTAGCAAGGACCCTATCTACCCATAACCTCTAAATTCATCTTCTTCTAGACCTTTTCCTTCACATATAGATATATTTATATATATCCTCTACCAATATTAAATATACATAAGGCTGACCCCAACACATCCACTAACGTGCCCTAAATAAACCAAACTCACCCACCGTTAGCATTACATTTTGACCCTAATTCTTCTATACTAGTGAACCCACTTGACCCTATATTGTCACAATCTATCCCTACAAACACATGTGAAAAATATCCATCTCCAAAAGATCTTCCTCCTCGGCATACTACTTAAACCCACCACCATGGCCACGACTTCTTCTAACTCCAAAAGGCATCGGCATTCTACTTAAACCCACCACCATGGCCACGACTTCTTCTAACTCCAAAAGGCATCCAATGTATCATGGAATCCGGAGCCGCGGTGGTAAATGGGTTTCTGAAATCCGGGAGCCACGCAAAACCACTCGTATATGGCTTGGCACATTCCCAAAGCCGGAGATGGCGGCGGCCGCATATGATGTTGCAGCCCTGGCCCTAAAAGGTAATGGTGCAGTTCTGAACTTCCCAAGTTCTGCTGGGACTTATCCTGTGCCTGCTACGGCATCATCCACTGATATTCGTAACGCGGCAGCTGCTGCTGCTGCTTTTAAAAAGGCTGAACTGAGCTACAATGAAGCGTTAGTTGATCAACCAGGAAATGACCATAATGCCATTGGTGCGTATTTAGCATCAAGTGGAGAAGAATTTGTTGATGAGGAGGCACTGTTTGATATGCCAAATTTGCTGGTGGACATGGCAGGAGGGATGCTGCTTTCGCCACCAAGAATAACCTCGCCCCCGTCAGATGATTCACAGGGAAATTCTGATGGAGAAAGTCTGTGGAGTTATTTTTAATATTGCTCCTTACTATTGATCTTTACAACTTCATGAATGGCTTAACAGCATAAAGAAAGAAGCAAAAGGATATGCATGGAAGTCACTACTGTGACCTTTTTTTTTTTGGGACTATTTTGCCTGTCCTGATGTAAGAAATGAGCAATAACAAAATGATGGAGGTTAGGATGTGAAACAAAAACAGGATAAAAAAGATAAATCAAAGAGTACTGAACCAGCGATCACGTACGTAGTGAGTTTTTGAGTTTGAGACGGAGAACAGCAAGTTAGGGTTGCATTTCTTTCCATGTGAGTGCATTGTACAATAGTCTAGCTAGCTTGTAATTAATATATTCACTAATTTTCTTGTCTCTTCTTTTTCATTATTTCGTTGTCCTGCCTTCCCTTTTCTTTTTTGAATTTGTTCTCTTTTAGAGTTAATGAGATGGACCACAATTTCTTTTACTTGTTTCCTCCGATGAAAAGGAACTTGTTGTGTTGAGACAAATTAAGCTGCTTTAATTGTAAATCAATTAGAGCCCGTTTGGTAACACATTATTATCAGTATTTTTCCAAAAAAACGTTTTTTTATCAAGAAAAGTTATTAATTTTATTTTCAATGTTTTAATCTGAATGGTTTAATATAAAGATATCAAAATTCAACAAAAAAACATTTAAAATAACATCATTTTTCATGTTTTTAGTTAAAAAAACTAAAAAGAAAAAAAACATATACATTGTATTACCAAATACACACTAATAAGTACCTTTTAGGACCGCAGGTTTAATTTCTTTACTAACACCCTTCATGCCAAATTAATTAATGAAGATTCAAATTTACAGTTTCCTCAGGACCCTGGTTTTCAATTCCTTACCAAACCAGTCCTCCATTGATAAATATGCCCTTTAATCATTGAGCCTGTAATGAAATTTATATTTGTGATTTCTACGTCCTGTACTCTTAATAGATTAAAAAAAACTAAGGGCCAATCTGAAATCTTAAGGAAAGATGGGGACTAATTAGAACTATCTTAAGCACATTTTTTCATGAAAGAACTTCAATTGACTGAGACACCTTTAACACGTATTGAAGGGAAAAGATTTGACACCTCTAGGAGTCACACGCGTCTTGAGGGCCTACAAGACTTTTTCGCCTCTTTAAGGAGACAAACATCTCTTGTCATATCTAGTGGACCCTGAGATAGATGTGTGTGCGACACTCACAATCCTACTTATTGGAACAATTGTAAAGTGTTGACCTCATTGTGCAATCATCTTGTCTCGAAATGTTCAGTGTTGATATTTTTAAAAATGCATCTCAATTTTAAATTTTAAATTATTAAATATGATTGTAATAATAATTTTATATTATTCAGGTTTGTTTTAATTTTTATTAAGTTAAAATAAAGAAAATTAAAGTCATGATTATTTGGCTAATAAAATTTTGATGTTATAATAAAAAAATATTTTAATCTAAAATTTTAAATTGTTAAATAAAAATTTAAAAATAATTTTATATTTTTACAATATTATATAAGAATGATCAGTACTTATAAATAAATCTATCAATGAAGGTCTGACGATTAAGATACTGTTATATCTGAGTGAGAACACAAGTTTGATCCTCAAGAAGCACACTCAGTAGAAGAGGCTTCTACAGACCCCAAACAACACTAATCTCATCTGTTAAAAGAATGTGAGATACCCGTATAAAAATTAAAAAGAAAAATACCTATAAATAAATCTAAGAAAAAAAATATTGATGTTGTTATTAGCTAGCATGTCTTTTTTACCCTTTCATGTCATGTGTGAGAAGTCTCTTAAGAAAAAAAAAAAAAAGAAAAAAAAAAGAAAAGGGGAATACATATCTAAAATACTAATGTTATTAATTTCACTATTAATTCTAAATTTAATAACCATTTCACATAGGTGACATAATATCCGATAAGATGCTTATTCAAACCATAACCATCATTTAATTAATTTTAGAGTCAGATCAAAGTATATCAAAAAATAATGTTTGTATCACTTGTATGGCATATCTAGACTCTAATGAAACCCTAATTAGTTTTTTTACACCTAATTAAGTGTTTTCACGATTCTTTTCTTGCTAACAAACAACAAGGGGTGGTCTCTTAGACAAATTTAAAAGAGAAATCAGTAGTGTGGTTGTGAGTCGGCCATGGAATCCAAAAGGGTGCCTTTAATTGTTGAGAAAAGTCATAGTAATTAGTATGGCTAGGCATGTTTTACTCATGAAATCGAAGAGAAACAAACAATATTTTTTTGTGGCGCTAAACATATATCTGAATGAGTGTATATATATATATGACACAAAAATTATGAGCCGAAATTCCCCCTGTATCTTTGAATGAGCAGGAGTTAGGTTTGACAAAAGGCAAGACAAGACATGGCCGACATTGCATCCTTGGCTGTCTTCACTTCACTGTCATGGCCTGGCTGGTGATGCGTCTCTCTCCTTGCGTCCTTCTGTCTCTCGCGAGCGCATACATTGCAATACGCGTGCAAGTTTACAAACACACGCATACAAGGAATTCCGTCACACAACCTTGATCGAAACATTGCGATACGTGTCATCTATAAAATTGACATCTATGTTTCTGGCTTTTTTGCTTTGGTGATGCTCTCTAGCCGACTAGACTCTGTGAAAACATGTCAAAATTAACTGGACAAAGCATTTTTTAATCCTATAGATGCAGTAGTTCATTTTTCAATAACCCAATTAATATCCAGTTAGACAAGGTGTTTTTAGTCTCCAATCATTAAAACTGACCAAACCCTAACTATTAAAAAAATACCAAGTGCGTGCTATGTTCTTTCAGCAAGCACAGTGAGTCCGTTCTTTGACTTGCTTTAATTAGGTTCTATAGTCTTAGTATTGTGATAGTGTTTTTCTCCAAATTATTTTTATATTGCAATAGGGCATGCCTGATAGAGATCTGATTAGGGAAACTGAACGAATAATTAATCATGGCCATTCCATTTTGGGTAACGTGGAAACTTAGCTACCCACTAGCTAATATTATATATATTAGCAATACGAAGGTACAATTAACCTGGCTGGTTCGGTTCTCAAAAGAAGAGGAGGGGACAAGGATCCAATGTGGGAGACACAAAATTTTATATCTTTCTAATTGGTTTTTTTGTTATTTTATTTAAAAAAAAAAAAAACCTTCTTCCTCTTTCCCCATCGGCCCCTCTGCAGAACAGGTTTTTTTTTAGATTAATATGGATGTTCAGATTAGTTTCTGTGTACTACGATTAATTTTATGGGTCTTGAAATTAACAATCATGTAAACCTCCAATTGCCCTTATATAAGCAATCAAGGACTCAAACCTGAAATCACAAAAAAAAAAAAATCATTTAATTTCAAATTTTTATCACTTAGCCACCATCTAGATAGTTAATAGCTAATGGTCCATCAAAGAGTTAGTTGTCCATAAAAAATGTGCCTCCCATTTTTACTAATATCATTATGTTCTTTTGGTTTGTTAGCTATGATGATCGTTCCTTCTTTATCTTTATCTTTTATTCTCTACTTGTTAATTGTCCATGATGATGGATTTCAGTCACTTTTCGAACTTCAATTTGACAGTCCATGACCCCAGGTCTAGAATTAAGATTTGACGCGAATTTATGTAAATAGTAATTAAGGAAATTTTCGGTGTAAAAAATATTTTTGTAGAATCTTTTGGATGATCTCTGTGATCTTATATTTAATTAAGATATTATCTTAAAGAAACTATTATAATTTATTATATTCTCAAATTCACTAACTTGAACACAATTCCGATTGCATTAATATATGTTTATATCTTAATAGTACAAATTCTTCATTTTATTTTGTCGATAGCTAGAGGCAAACTCAACCTATAAGGACATAAGAAAAGCAAGCCTTTAACTATAGAAATGCATACGAATGGCTTGGGATTTGCTTGGTATTATAAAATAATAGTATTAGTAAAACAATGGTCGTGTTTTTTAAAAACGGTAATTGTACTGAAAAATACCCACAATAAAACCACTTTTCTTTATTAAAAGCAGTCATGCATGCTTTAATTCAAAGCAAAGCAGTTTAAAACAATATATATATAAGACTATTAAAGACTATTACTTTAAAGTAAGCTCTTGATCTCTTTAATCTCCAAGCTCCTTGTATAAGAGATATACTAACTATTGGCCTGAAGAAAGTGATATAGTGTATCTAATTTTAACAACTCATGAGCCTTATAATTTAATAAATTATAATCATGATTTATTCCTGAGGAACACCTCCAGATCTGTGTGCGTCTGTGTGTCTCTGTGTGTGTAGATGATTTGTGCGGTCTTAAATTGCTTTAAACAACCATCGAGCCCAAGCTAAGTTATAGGCCTAGTCTAGTAATTCAACCTCTGAGTTCGGAAACATCACGCGAAGGAGCAGTCCACTTGCTAGCCCACAGTCCCCAGGCCCTTTCCAGTCTAGCTGTCCAGTCTAGAATCAAGATGTTTCCTTCCACTTTCCTTGGTGATTTCTACGAGCTTTCCAGATTCTTGTTATTACGGCGGAGCGAGGAGTCAAGATTTAAATTTTATGTTTTTTTTGTTTTTTAAGAGTTCCAAATGTAAAATACATATAAATCCCTAGAAAAATCTATATTTTCTCAGGAACCCGGGCTCCCCTTGTCTCAGCCCTCGGTTACGTCATTACATATTCACTGGTTCTTAACTTGGTGGATGTTTTAATTAATAATTATAGGTATGTTAAAGAGCTGAGATATATTATTCTTATCATCTTTTTTTTTTTATTTCTTGGTGGGAAATGAGGGGCTGAATTAATGTTAATGTGAAATAAAATGAAAATAGTATTAGATAATTGGGGTCTTATAATTGTATATCATTCTCAAATTCTCGTATCATGCAAAATAAAACTGGACTAGAAAATGCCAGCGCTATTCAACATTAAAAAATAAATGCTCAGTTCACTTGTAACTTCTTAATAACATCGTTAAATTTGATTAAACCCTTGAATTTTTAAATCTTTTAATTTTTTATATTTTTTTATAGCTTTGATTTGATATTGTTTAAAAAATAATATATTAAATCGATATGAATAAACGGTTGAATCATGATCACTTACCTCGTACCTCGTGATGTAAGTACAATTGAGCTTATTCACGGTTGCCTGGAAATCTTTGGAGTGAATGCCGTAAACGAAAGCTTCGAAGATTATAAATAAAACGAATACAATCAAAAGGAATCACAAAAAGGAACATCCGGCAAAAGAGCCATTAATTGTATTTTTACAAAGGAGGGTAGTGGAATAGTCAATTAAGGAAGTGTAATTATAGTTTTTTTTTAATATTTTTATTTAAAAATATATTAAAATAATATTTTTTATTTTTAATATCAGTAAATGATTTAGAAATATTAAAAAATATCAATTTAAAAAAATTAAATTAAATTAAAAATATTTTAAAAATATAAAAAGAAACAGCCAATATAAAAAGTATAAGCAGTCAGTTCACAATTGTCTGTCTACCTTGAGTTAATTTCTCTGGTAAAGAGAAGAAGCAAAGAGAAATAAACGTGATGTAAGGAAGATGCTATGTAAAGAAGTGGAGAATTCCAAGAACAGTGTCCTTGCTGATCCTTAAGTTGTAGTTCGAGATTGAAGAAACATGAGCCTTTGTTGAATTGAAACGACAATCATAGTTACTTGTCGATTTTCTGTCTTTTCTCTTCCTCTCACCTCTACACTAAATAATAAACAAAATTTGTTAGGACTTAAAATAAAATTTCACTTTGTTTTACACTTTTATCGCTTTGTTGAATTTTTTCTTTCTTTAAATTTCAGAAATTGATTATTAATTTGGTCATAAAAGTTTGTGATTGAAAAGGAAATTGGGAATAAAATTTAAAATAAAAAAAAATGTGGATTGTTGCTGTGAAAAGCCTTATAGTAAATTTTCTAATTGGAACAAGTGTTGATCCCGTGGAAACTCATGCACGTTGCTGGTTTCAATCTTCAACACTCCGACACGTACGATGGCCACACTGGGCAGACACAGAGCCCACGCACACCCCACTGTGAAGACTAACAACCTAGAATGAACATCAGTCGAGGCGGAGTCCTTGTCTTCGACTAATGGTATTAAAATTCAGCGATTATAAATATCTAGGTAGTTGGCTAAGTGGTAAGAACTTGGAATTAAAGGGTTTGCTTCTTTTATAATCTCAAGTTCGAATTCTTGGTTGCTCATATGATGGCCACTGGAGGCTTACATGGTCGTTAACTTCAGGGCCCGTGAGATTAGTTGTAGTGCGCGCAAGCTGGCCCGAACACCCACGTTAATCTAAAAAAAAAATTCAGCAATCACTAGGTAATAGCCCAGTGATGGGAGGGTTTGTTCCTTTTTTCTGTGTCTGGATTCGAGCTTTACCATGTATGCTTGTAACCCCTGCGATATCTTATTTGTTTATTGGACTTGTAGAATGTTCAGTGAACCATGGGGATTAGTCGTAATGCACGTAAACTTGTCCGGACACCCTCATATAAATAAAAAAAATAAAAAATTCAGCGATCACTGTCGTTTATCAGCAGCCCTCGTTTATTCATGCAAGGGATAAGTACGGGTGGCACGTGGGTAGCCTTGCAAGTTTCTTTCCTTATTTTTCTTAATGTAATCATGTACGTGTAACATTATCTAGTATATTTAAAAAAGTTCGTGTGATAACAATTCTCTTTTATTGTTCATGGGAACACTGAATGAGGTTTTTTTTTTCGTTTTTTCCTTTTTTTAAAAAATTATTCTTTGATATTTATTTTATTTTTATAATTTTATTTGTTTATTTTTTAAAATTATCATAGTTTTAAACAAATATTCTAATATTTAATTTGTACTTCATTTTATAAAAAATTATTTTTATTATCATATAAATGAAATAAAAATAGCTGGGAAAACAATTTTTTAAACTTAGTGCATTCGGTAACCAAATTATAAATTTAATAGGCTAAATAGTAAAATTTAAGTTGATTTAATATATTAAGTATTTTAATATTAAAATAAAAATATTTAATTATTTTAAAATTAAACTATATTTTTATATTTTTATATTAAAAATATTTTTAATTCAAACCGCAGTACAGTAAACCTTCATAACAATATGGTCGAATTGAACTGGAAGGAGATTCATTTAGTATTTTATAACATGTCATGAAATTATATTTTAATAAATTCATGTAAAGAATTTTATGTATTTAATGATCTTATTTTAAAATCATGTTTAAAAACATATATTATTTTTTAAAATTTCATTAGTAATTTATATTAATTAGCAATATTATATATGTGCGAGTGCGATTATTATTTGTTAAATAACTCTTATTATGCATTTCAATAAAAATATATTATATAATATGAAAAGATGCTCACATGATATTAATTAATAATTGTCATGTATAGTAAAGGTGATCATTTTTAGTTTAATTTGATTTTTATAAATAAAAAATAATTAAATTAAAATTAAAAAAATAAAACCAAACTAAAATTAGTTTAAACTAACCAATTTCAATTATACAGGGTTTGATTTTTTAGGATAAAAACCAATTTAAACCAGTTTGGTTAGGTTTTTTGGTTTAGCTCGGTTTTTTCTGTTTATTTCTGATTTTTTTGGTTTGGGTTTGGTTTTTTTTTTCAGTTTTAGATTTATAAAACCAAACCGGTTGATTTTTTCAAAATTTTAATCCGTTTTATTAGTTTTTTTAATTATTTTTTTCCAGTTTTTTCGGTTTAATTAGTTTTTTAATTTTTTTGGTCGCTCCTGTCATGTAGTTATAATTACATGTTAAAATTTAATTTAATTATAAAATACAATTTTAAATTTTGATTGATTTTTACAGGTTTGTAATATAATATTATATTGATAATTACTTATACATTAAAAACTTAAAGAATTTTTTATTTATAAATTAATATTTAATTAAAAATGAAGATTAAATAATTATATTGTATTTTATATGCTTTATAATAACTATATAAATTAATAAAATAATAAACAAAAAAATGAATTTTTTCAATCCTATTCAAATGAAACAAAAATTATTAAAAAACTAAAAAAAACAAATTCATTGTTTAGCTCTGTTGACAGGAACAATACTCTTTTTTAATTCAATATTTCTTAAAATTTTTATTTTTATTTTATTTTTATAAAACAAATTTATTGCTTGTCTTTTTATAGAATATTGTTCACTATAATATTATTTTGTATTTTTATTTTAATTTTAAATTTAATATTTGATTTATTATAAATTAACTTTTATAATTTATTTTGTTTTTTTATAAGATTATTCAGGTTCTGTGATCTTAGTTGCGGTTTTAATATTTTATTTTAAGTTGACTTGAGATTTTTTATTATATTTTTATTTGATTTTAAAAATTTCACCCCCTTAGCTTAATTATTTTATACTAGGTTGTTTTAATTTTATGATTTAAATAGTTGGTTTGGTAAATTAATCAGTGTAAATTAATCAGTGTATTTTATTTGAATTTTTTATTTAATTTTATTTTTTAAAATTAATTTGTTAATATTAGTTTGAATATGATTTATTTATCATAATTTATTTTAAATTATTTTTTAATAAAGTTATTAAAGTGTCATAATTAGTACATTTAATTTAAAAGGTTAATTAGTCTAATATTATATTATGTTATTTTAATATTTTTTTAAAAAAAATTATTTAAATAATATTTTTACTATTTGTTTGTGTGAGGAACTTTTAATACTGTCAAATCAATCATGTCATTGTAAATCAACAATCATATATTTTAATTTTTTTACTAAAAAATATATTAACATATCTGATAAGTATATAGCCACTGCTTTATATTACTTTGACTCGCGGCATAACGAGTGAGAACAAGTAGTGTGAACTAATAGAAGTGAAGGCTCGCAAGCATTTGACGACTCCCTTGTTAATGCATTAAATTAAAAGAAGGAACTGACGGGGAAAAAAGAAACATAAACGGATTAGATATTAAAAAGACACGTGGAGCTTCAGGTGTGAAACAAGTCATCAAACACGTGCCGTTGTTGAAGAAGTTCAAGAAAATGTTACTTCGTGGTATAGGAGGCATACGACCCCACCTGACACACGTGGTTAACACATTATCTGCTCAGCTAAGTAAAATAGGACCCACCAAGACCAGTCAAAGTGTGTACAAACTGATCCCGTGTTCGTGTTCACCTCGTATCCTCATCCACAAAGATCCTAAGCATATATAGCAGCGGACAATCTCACTTCAGTTAGTTAAAATAGCAAACCGGAATCTCAACACTCTCACAAGTCATTCATTATCCGTGCCCAAAAGTTCAAAGCGGACCCATAAACCCTATACAAACATCACTAGTTCTTAAAAAATGGTCATGGGAGGATCAAATTGCTTCTCACCTGACAAGCAAGAATCATCTTTATCATCTTTACTATCCGATAGTAGCGGTTCTCAGCAGGACTCGCCCAGTTCGAACGAGAAAGTCTTACTAGCAACAAGTCGTCCGAAAAAGCGTGCAGGGCGGAGGATATTCAAGGAGACTCGTCATCCAATCTTTAGAGGTGTTAGGAAGAGGAATGGCGATAAATGGGTTTGCGAATTGCGTGAACCAAATAAGAAGTCACGTATTTGGCTAGGCACATATCCTACACCCGAAATGGCAGCCCGGGCACATGATGTAGCTGCTTTGGCGTTTAGGGGAAAATCAGCTTGCCTTAATTTTGCGGACTCGGCATGGAGGTTGCCTGTGCCGATTTCAAATGAGGCCAAGGACATCAGGAGGGCAGCAAGTGAGGCAGCAGAGTTGTTTAGGACTACAGACTTTGGTGGTCAAGAAATGGAATATTTCAGGAGGGAGGACCGTGGTGAAGTTTGTAGTAGTCCTAATGATGACATAAGAGATTTGCCATCTGAAAATGTGGGGTATATAGACGAAGAGGCAGAATTTAACATGCCAGGGTTGCTTGCTAATATGGCAGAAGGCCTTCTACTCTCTCCTCCACATTATACTGGGGACTGGAATGACGGGGAAATTGATGCTGATTGGTCGTTGTGGAGTAGTTAATTTGACGTGTCAGGGTTTTGTGTATTTTTCTCTTCTAGCTAGTTACAGAAATTCAAATTTTTTGGAAAATGTTTGATCGGAGGAATTAATGTCATGGGATAAGTAGTGTGTGCGTGTGTGTATAGAAAACAAGCTGACAGGCTCGATGGCTATTAAACATCAGAGCAAGTCTTGATATATTGGGCTGAGTGTAACTTCTTCATATACAAGCTTAATCAAGAAATTCAGAACAAGTCGCTGAGATAGGTGGACAGAAGAATAACATTGCGAAGAACTGATATTTCTCTCTCTCTCTCTCTCTTGTGTATCGACCTAGCAAGCTATGTAAAACATTTTGAATTTTCGCTCAGGTGCTCTGCTAATCAACAGCCGACAAAGAGATGTTATGGTCGCGAAAGTAAAGCTGGTTCTTTTATGATGAACATATATAACAATGTTTATATAGTTTGGTAGATTATTAATGAACTGATATTTGAAAGTTTTTTTTCATTAATAATAAATGAAGAACAAATAAATCACTCTTTTTATAAATTTAGAGGAATTATTGTTATTTGAAGAGCTGATGGACATAATTAAGATGCCCATTTTACATAATGATTTGGATGGCAAGTAAAATCTTTGAAATTCTCAATCTTGAAATGCCTCTACAGGACTAGATTGCATTCATACATACAATTGAGTTCGGATCATCATATATCAATAAAAAACAAGTCATGCTATCATATCACATTACGGTAATGAAAAATCCAAAATCACTAAATGATATATCAACTTTCTATATCCAACAAAAAACCAACCACCGGACTTTTTATCTAAAGTGAAAAAAAAATTGACAAATAAATAACATCCGATTCCATATATACAAGATTTACTTGGATCTTGATAAAATTAAATGAATAAATAATCTAAAATTATGAAAAAAAGAAAAGGGAGAGGCTGCTGTCGGGGCTCGTCGGCAATAGCTACGCTGATACTTCAGATAAAACTAGATTTTTGGAGTATTTTTAGAAGGAAAGAGGGGTAAAATCCTTATGTAACTAATTACAGGTGGGTAGATACCGGGGACAAATGTATTAGATAACATTTAAAATTGTTATGCTTATAGGTTGAACATGTTCTTTTACTGGATATGCAATAGGGCGTGCCTGAACCAAGCTCTTCTACCTGATAAAGGGTTATTTATTTTATGTTTCTTGTCCTGATTAGTTTCAGACGTAACGGCGGACAAAGGGACAGGGGTGTCTTTCTTCCATTTGCATCATATATTAAAATAAAGGCTCTATAGAAGTATGGAAAAATAATGTAGAACAATTCGTTCACATGTAAAGCTAACTGCTAACTATGGCACTATATGTACTAATCTAGAAGTTTGCCTAATAACTCCATAACGACAAATCAGAACCATTCTCCATATGATCCAAGTCGTTGCAATCATTCCTTACATAACGTGGAGGAGAGAGTAGAAGACCTTCTGCCATGTCCACGAGCAACCCTGGCATGTCAAGCACTGCTTCCTCGAAGAAGAAATCATTTTCTTGGAAAGTTTTGCAATCATCGCTGCAAACTTCACTTGAGTAATCCTCTAGCACTGCATTGCTATCTTGTTGTTTTGCCGGATGACCTCCAAACTCTTGAGGCCTAAATAATTCTGCTGCCTCATTTGCTGCCCTTGTGATATCCTTAGAATCCTTCGAAACTGGCACAGGCAACCTCCATGCTGAATCAGCGAAGTTAAGGCAAGCAGATTTGCCTCTAAGTGCCAAAGCAGCAACATCATGAGCTCGAGCTGCCATTTCTGGTGTAGGATATGTTCCTAACCATATTCGTGACTTCTTGTTTGGTTCCCGCATTTCACACACCCATTTGTTACCATTCCTCTTCCGAACACCTCTAAAAACCGGGTGCCGAGTCTCCCTGAATATTCTGCGGCCAGCGCGTTTTTTCGGAAAACTTGTTGCTAGTAAGACCTCTTCATCAGAATGGACAACTCGTCGAGACGTGCTGCTATCGGAGAAAGAAGATGCTTCTTGCCTGTCAATGGGCATTGAATTTGACCTCAAAGGATGTTGATCAGAGAATTGGCAGAAATTATCCATTCAACAAGAACTGAAGGTTTCAACTTTTGAGAGGGGATAGAATGATGGGGTGAATTTCTTTCTTTCTTTCGTCTGTCTGTCTGTCTGTCTGTCTGGGGAATTTCTTTTTTGTTGCTTTCTGTGGGTTTCGAAGGGGAATTGAATGGAGTGAAAGGCTTCGGTTTTGGAGACAGGGGGTGATCTAGGAAGTGGTGATTCGGTTGCTCAGTCAGGTGGGATAATTATACAGGCTTTGTGTTTTGAAGAGGATATTCATTGGTGGGGCCGTACACGGATTCAACTTGAGATGCCAGTTGGAGACCCACGGTTCACACCAGGGCCAGGAAGCTCCAAAGTGGAAAGTGATGTGATGGTCGTTCTGCCCTTTTGTCTCTGCCGCAGCTTCTGCCACCTCATTGCTTACAATTAACCGCTGTATCATACTATCTACTCCTATGCACGTGTTCTCTTAATTCAAAGGAAATAACACGTGGATCTTTTCCAATGGTCGATTGGCAGCTTCATGTCGCCCCTCGTCACCCGGTACTCCTGCTTCTATTTTGAGTTTTGTTCCTGAACTACCGAGTGTGGAGAAAGCGTCTCCTCAGTGTGTCGACTTCGTATTGACTGGGAACTCTTGCTTCTAGTGGTGTAGCGACTAGCAATGTCTGCATCCAGCGAATTTAAAACTTGTTTACGTGGTCAACTGATTAAATTTTAAATTTTTTTAATTATTAATTAAATTTTATAAATTTTAAGAATATTAAAAACTTATATAATTATTAAATTTAAAATCTATAAAATAATCTTAAAATTAATTAAAATATATACAATTTAGTTCAAATATTCATATTAATAAAAAAATTATTAAAGGCCAGTTTGATATTATTATGTTATATTATGCCGTGATTATTATACTCTCTTATGTTATTTGGTGTTGTGAAATAGAATAAAATAGTTTTTTTTATAATTAATTTTTGTGTTGTGCTTGTAAATGTTTAAAGCAGTTAATTATTGTTTGATTACATTTTATTATTGTGTTTTTGAGATATTAAAAAGGATTGTAGTATATCAAGAATATTTTGATACATATATTTCAATATTATTAAGAAAATTTATAACCCTTATGATGGTGTATGTATTTTTATGGGACCGATTCTTAAATTTAGAAAACTAAAAACATAAATTAAATAGGATTATAATATTTATATATATAGACACATCCTTTCAATAAAAACATTTATATAAAAAAAGGATTTTGAATGAAGTTGCATAAATCACCGGAATATTTTATTTAAAAAAAATAGAGAAAGTTGTTTAAAAAAAGGCACAATTGTATATTTTGTTAGAAGCAGGAAATACTCTGTATATTTAAAAAGCAAGTCATGGGATTTTCACTGAGTAGAAGTTACTATTCATTCTCTCGCATGTATAAATTGTGCAAAGAAATTTATTTTTTTACTTTGATCCTCAAATTTGGTTTTTCAATAATTTAGTTTTAGTTAAAAACCAATTAATTTTGATTTTTTATAAAAATTTAAAATTAAAAAATAAGGAACCAAGATGAAAAGGGAGTCAAATATGGACAACATGTTATAAGTTTCACAAAAGATATATTTTGGCTATTGAACTTAAAAAATAATACAGATTATACAATTTTGATATTTCAATATTTTTTAAATTTAATTTTTATATAAAAATTATTTTTTTTATTTTTTAATCCATGATTGAGAGAGGATAATAATGGATTATTGGATTTCAAAGATAAAAAGAGAAACATGTTATTGACATCAATTTAGATAATTTAAATAAGTGATATTTGTGTGAAATAGTTTCATTTGATAAAGAGAATTTATATTATATGTTTTTTTAATCTTTAAAATTCATAAAAAAAAAAACATATATAAACTTGGATTGATTTTTAGTTTTGGGTTGATTTTGGTTTTTGAATATTTTTTAGATTTTTTAGGGTTATTGATAGATTTATTATGATTCCTAAAATATTTTATAAGTGTTTAAGTTAAAAAAAATGAATTGAAATATAAATTTAAAGATAAAAAAAACTTACAACTTGATGTGATAGAAACTTGGACAAATCATATAATATCATATCATTCATTCTAGTAAAAATAAATAAATAGCCAAGTTATGTGGAGGCTATCAAGATAGGCGATGCGTGTACCCCGATAAAACAGGCAGCTAGGATAACTAAATACTAATTTCAGATTAAAAGCACAATAATTAGAACTATCTGTTTCATTTTTACAACAATTGTACGGATCAGTGTTATAACAGTAGTTCTTTAATCTGGTGTATAAAGTAAAGCAAGTGTTAGTTTTTGATTTGGAGTTGGGAACAGTTGTGGTCCCATGGAATTATTCGATCCTTCTTTAATCAAGCATAAATAAAACATGCTTGAAAACAAATTAAAAAGCCAGCTTAAAAGTTAAGGCCATGAAGTGGGTTATGGGACAGCATCAATCTCGTAACGTAACGTAAAGGGTGGGATAAGCTGGACACTAGGCCCAGCCTCAAGACCCACTTCAAGGTAAAAGTTCCACGAGGAGAAATGTTATGGCAGAAAGCTTTTAAAAACAGCTGATTATATTTTAATATTTTTTATACAATTATTTTAATAATTCAATATGTTTGGATTATGTAATGATGATTATCAATTAATATAATATTAAAAAATAAAATAAAATAAAATAAACTTAAATAAATTCATCAAACTTGTAATATGTATTATAAAACCATAATAATTTTATAAAAAAGAAATTAGTAAAAATATAACATTATTACATTAAATAATATTTGTACAAATGCACAACAATAACGTTTTTGTAAGAAAAATACTAAAATAACTTTTTTGTTGAGCTTTTCTCCATTAATATTAAAAACAATCTAAAAGAATTTAAATATTAAATTTTTATTTTTGACTCTCCATTTATCACTTGGGTTGGAGTTGATTTTGGGTACAATTTGTTTTTATGGTGTAAAAACTATTTTTGAAAAAAATATAAATATTTTTATGTTAAAATATTTTTTTAGATGTTTTAATATGCTGATATTAAAAATATTTTTTAAAAAAATTAAAAAAAAATATTATTTTAAAATATTTTAAAATAAAAATCATTTTTAAAAAAACCCACTAACAAAATATATAATCCTTGTAATCATTCAAAATAAACACCTCTGATTACTAGTTTTGTTTTTATTAATGCAAGCCCATATCCTTCAAAACACATATAATAAATGTGTGGAACGAGGCTAGACCCAGGGATAGCGAGAAGCACGTGGTCGTCGCAGCAATCCGAGCTAGGCGGTGCACAAGTCCAAGCTTGTCAACTATTGGGTTCAGACATTGTACCTTACTCAGTGTTGATCCATACTTTAGAGAAAATGACTGGATCCATAGTATTAAAATTTTAATGTTTTCATCAGTCTCGTGGTTGTTTATATAATAATGATTAAAAATTTATATAATTATTAATTTTAAAATTTATAAAATAAATCAAAGTATGTATAAGCTGATCCAAATATTTTAATTAAATTTTTTTTTTTAACATTTGATGATGCAGTTTTATGCTCTCTATATATTTCTTATACCCTTATTTTTTGCATAGAAATTTTTTTTTCACAATGCTAATCCATTTATTAATATTTGTTCAGAAAAAAAACTCAACAATAAAAAATCAAAGTGTAAAATAATGGCACATTCTCTCCGGTCTATCTACTCTTTTTTTTTTCTTACTCTAAAATCCCTATAATTCCAGCAATTTAAGTTTTGGTCTGAAAGTTAATTTCTTAGCAATTCAGTTTCTGAATTTAAAAAATAAAAAAGAAAATCACATAACAATAACATAGAAAAGAAAAGGCAGGTGAAGAGTACACCTTATGATGATGAAACTCGTTATTTATTATCTCAATGAGTTCTATTTGATAAAATATATTTTATAAAGATGGTTTTTTTTTTCCTTTTTAACATGCCCGAACAAGTAGACTGGATTTGATTTAGATTTGTTAATTCGGTTGATTTTTTTTAGGGATGTAAGTGTGATTTAGAATTGGTGAATTGTTTATGAAAGTTTTTGTGATGTTTTTAAATAAAAATAAATTAAAAATTAAGTTTTTAAGTAAATAATCCTCCCCTTAATTATCTGCCATCACAGGTAAAACAAAAAAAAAAAAACTTGCATAAAATAGCCAGTAACAGGCTCTGGAGCCTAAGATACAAAAATTTGTAGCGGAACATGTGGAGTCCATGAGTGTATTTTTCTTCTTTTTTTCAATGAGTAGCGGAGCATGGACTCCTAATGCAAAAAAAAAAAAAATTAAAAAAAAAAACCCACGCCCAAGCGGGCAACTTTGCTCACCGGTGTATGATCTTTCTTTTTATTAAGTTAATCTAATAAATCTTCATTTTATTATTTTAAAAAAAATAAAATATATGGTGATGGATTTTTTAACGTTAAAACCATGTTTTTACTCCAGGTCACTCCTAGACGATTTTTTTTAAATCTCGAAATGGGCAAAAAGTCATGATAAGAGGTTTCCCGATTGATCTATTATCTCGGGTTTAACTGCAGCCCATGCACTTTGTTTACATGAAAGAAAAAAAAATCAAATCACGTATGCATAATTATCTAGTTATTTTACTATTCTTCTTCATATTCATGGTGTCATCAGCATGTAATAAGTCATTACAAAATGTTTTTGTGAATTTTTTATTTTTTAACTTATTAGCTAATAAGGTAGTGTTTTTAGACTAATTTGTTTATCTTCTTTGATTTAGTCGTAGAATAGGTTATTTATCCACACTACTCTACGTAAAAATTTTAATCAAATATTTTTAAAAAAATTAATTTTTTTTTAAAAAATCATGTTAAGATTAATTTAATATAACTTTATCGATTTAATAAGTTTAAAAATAACCTAGACAACCAGAAAAATAAATAGAAATTTCTTCAAGAAACATACTTTTCTTAAGAAATACCAAGACAACAACATATTAAATCGGTCATGTTTACCTGGGTTAATATGTAAAATCCATGACATGGGTCTTACAACTTTGATAAACTCATATAAAACAAATCAAAAAATATTTTTAAAACTCAATTCTCAATGAATTTAATGTTAGAGGATGAAAGTAAAAAATAAAAAATGATAAAAAAATAACCCGAGTTTACTCGAGCTAACCTGCCAAATTCAAATTATGAAACTA